CTACTCCACCACCATATCCTCCGAAATCCCCCCGACACACAAGGAAACCCCCCCCCTCGATATCCTGCAACTCCCTCCTCCCATAACCTAGGCCAAAGGGTGGACACAAAAGAACCGACAAAAACGACATAAAACAACGGACTAAATACTGACCCACGTCGGACCAAAGACTAACACTGATTATTCCCAATCCCTCCTATATCCCATTCCAGTCCCCTCCCCTTTACCCACCTCCAAAACCCCTTAACAAAAATCACCCGTCACCACCCTACCCCGACTCACAATCCCCGTCCCTGTACGGGGGAGAGGGGCCGCAAACTATCAAGAGACTACCTGACATAGAGACATAGAAGAGTCTCATTAGAGATATGCGTATCACATAACACAAACTCAAGATCCTGTCCTCTTCTCTCCTATTTATATTGTTCACATATTTGCGTCTCCCTTCGAATACCGTCATAAAATTGTTTGAGGCATTCCTCAAAATATCGATTCCAATTTGGAATTGATTTTTTAAAAAATTGAACTAATTGTGTTAATACCTCCAATATTCCACCTCTTCACATGTTATTTTACATATATTTTACTTCTATGTCTTGCGTTATCATTCCACTCCCGGAAAGAATGAGCACATATTACGCACGAGCACTTAAGAGAATTATCTTGGTGATTCTCTAAGGAGACAAACGCCAATTTGAGATAAAAATCGAGTCGATTTACACTCTAGTAGTGTTGGTGAAACGCTCCAAGAAGTTACTCTCGAGTAAACATGATTTACTCCAAAGTAAACTCTTACTCTTTGTTTGGTGAAACCGGCCCTAAGGGACGATTACAAATGATAGTATTTGAAGACGATTCCAGCAAAGATTCACAATATTATCCACTATTGCGAAGACAAAGGGTGAGAGAGAATGATTTGGTTTTTAATTATGACGATCGAGATTTTGTCACGAGGTTATGTTTGACCAAAATCAGCTTCATCAGATACATTGAGAGAGAATGATTTGGTTATTAATTATTGACGATCGAACGATTTGTCACGAGCGTTATGTTTCTTGACCCCAAAATCAGTCTTCATCAGAACTATTAGAGATACTTGTTAGGAAACTTGTTGTAATTTATATTTTTTCACCCATGTGGATACGAAATAAGGTATTACGACCCCCGTTTTTATACAATAACAAAAGGAAAATAATTAACTTACAGGGACTACAATACTTATAATTATTTATTATTAGGTTAAAACTGTAGTACGTATGGGGGAGATTATTTGCGCCCGTTTTCTTGAGTTCCAGAATCCCTTTCCAACATTTAACCTATAACTATTCAAAGTCGCTGTGAATACAAACGTTAAAAAATAAAACAAATAATAATAATAATAATAATAATAATAATATAATAATAATTAATAATAAATTAGAAAAAACGCAGATCATGGAGATCAAAGCAACAATTGAAAAAAATAAAACATTTTCTTACGTATATAATTAGAAAATTTATTTGCATTTTGCCATCGGTAAACGAACTGCAAAATTTGATTTTTCTGCCATTGCTAACAAAAATAGTAAACTCGTCTCCAGAGAAAAGGAAGATAGAATATTATTAAGAAATAAGATACAGAAAATGGGCAATAAACTATGCTAACTCAAAACCACCATAACACCACACACCAGATTAGACGCCCATAAACTCCGAAACGTGAAATGAATGATAGAACATAAGAAATTATAATCAAAGTGTTTGCGTTAGGTCCGCATTGATTCACCAGCTCATTCTCGCTTCCCAGCCTCTTGAATCCGTCCTCAAATAGTGTGGGTTCACAGTTGATTTGTGGAGAAAAAATCCGGGGAAGGAGCAATCTATCAGAAGACTATGTACTCTTAAGTAAAATAACCCT